CGTCGGCATTTTAGTACAGCCTTTCACCCACAGACGGATGGCCAGAGCGAGCGGACCATCCATACTCTGGAGGACATGCTGCGGGCATGTGTTTTAGACTTCGGTGGTAGCTGGGATACCTATCTTCCTTTAGCCGAGTTTTCATACATAAACAGCTATCACGCGAGTATTGACTGTCCTCCCTTCGAGATGTTGTACGGGAGGAAGTGCAGGACCCCGATATGTTGGGGCGAGGTTGGACAGAGAGTCATGGGGAGCACCGAAGTAGTGCTCAAGAGACAGAGAAGAGAAGATTCAGCAGGTCCGGAGCAGGCTTCAGACTGCTCAGAGTCGGCAGAAGAGTTATGCCGATAGGCGCCGATCAGACCTGGAGTTCCAGGTCGGGGATATGGTTCTCCTGAAAGTGTCACCGTGGAAGGGCGTCATCCGATTCAGGAAACGGGGCAAGTTAGGTCCCAGGTATATTGGACCGTTTAGGGTTGCAGCCCGGGTGGGCAAGGTGGCATATCAGCTGGACCTGCCAGCCGAACTTAGTCAGATCCACATCACTTTCCACGTCTCCCAGCTGCGGAAGTGCATGGTGGACGATTCAGCAGTGGTACCTTTGGAGGACATCCAGTTGATGACAGCCTGAATTATATCGAGCGGCCTGTGGCTATCCTAGACCGGAAGTCGAAGGAACTGAGGAACAAAATGGTGGAGCTGGTGAAGGTGCAATGGCAGCATCGGAAGGGCTCGGAATGGACTTGGGAGCCCGCAGATGAGATGATGGAGCATTATCCGGAGCTGTTCCGGAAGGGAGCGGCAGACTTCGAGGACGAAGTCTAAAATAAGTGGGGGAGATTGGGGGAGATTTGTAACACGGGTTCATGGTATGATTTTAATTAAGTTTTTATCTTAATTTTGCCACGAACTCGGCGAGTCTGCGTCCCGACTCGCCGAGTAGCAGCAGGGTGGACACGGGATTTGAGCGGTGAACTCGGCGAGTCGATGCGTGGACTCGGCGAGTCGATGCGTGGACTCGGCGAGTCCACCTGTCTGGATGAAACTCTATTTTCAGACATTGCACCCTATTTTACCCATTCTAAAACACCCATTTCGTCCCATTCTCTTCCAGAAGAACTGGAGAGCGAAACCCTAGCCCATTTGATCCTTGAGAGTGATTTTGGCTTGGTGAAGGAAGTTTGAAGCTTAAGAGAAGAAGGAGGAAGTTGGAGGGTGCAAGGAAGTGTGGTAGATCCGAAATCTACCCTGGGAGAAGCTCCTAACCAGGTAAGAAAGCTCCTTCTTAATCTTTAGTATAATAGATTCCCTTTTTGTCCCTTATATGTGGATTTCAAGACCTTAAACCTCCCAAACTCCGTGTTTTTATGCCCTAGGAGCTTAGATTTATGGTTTGAACCATTGCATGTCTCAGTTTTGGCCAGAATGGGTGAAGAGTCGAAGGGTACTCGGCGAGTGCCAAAGTGGACTCGGCGAGTTCCATGAAGATGGCCTTAGACTCGGCGAGTTGGATAAACAACTCGGCGAGTCCTATGAATATTGCCTGGTACTCGGCGAGTCGTTCTTCAAACTCGGCGAGTCCCTTGAATATAGCCTTGAACTCGACGAGTTGCTCTTCCAACTCGGCGAGTCATATGATCAGTCACTAGGATAAGAAGGGTTTAAGTGTAGGAGGTCCAACCCTCCGTAGTCGCACGTGGAATTAGCAATTTAACGTGTAGCTATAGTCCCAGAATCTCCAAATCTCCAAGGTTGATGTTCTGATGGAAGATTGGAGCGATTTGTGAGATCTGTTCGTCGGACTCGGCGAGTCACCCCCTTGGACTCGGCGAGTCCAGTCGCGGGTTTGTTAGTTGTCCCCGTCTAGCGAGTCAGGCTGACTCAGTGAGTGGGAACAGGGACCCGATGAGTCAGAGTCGGGCTAGACATAGAAGGACTCGGCGAGTCGCCATATGGACTCGGCGAGTCCTGTCAATCAGAAGGTTGACTTTGACCAAGGAGTTGACTTTGACCAGTCATTTGACCTTAGGGGTATTTATGAGTACCTAATCCATGTTTATGGATTTATAGCCGGAAGGATTACCGGTGCGGCAGCCAGGCGTAGTCTGAGCAGGTTTTCGGCAGCTACTCTCGAGGTGAGTTTCCTTCCAGTAGGGACGGGTCTAAGGCACCAAGGCCGGCCCGTATAGACGATATGTTAGTATCGGAGTGTGGGCGGAGCCCGTATCTCATAGCTGAGTTTGATTGTGATATATGCCAGTATGATAGAATTGCTAATACTTGTTGTCTGTGTGATACTTGTATGTTATGGTTTAGTAGCGGAGTGTGGGCGAGGCCCGTATCTCCATGGATAGCAGAGCGTGGGCGAGGCCCGTATCTCTCAGAAAGTAGAGTGTGGGGGAGGCCCGTATCTCTCAGAAAGTAGAGTGTGGGCGAGGCCCGTATCTCCTAGCTAGTAGAGTGTGGGCGAGGCCCGTATCTCTATGGGTGTGGGCGAGGCCCGTATCTCTTAGCTGTTCATTATATGATTGCATGGTATGTGGCATTATGGGGGAACTCGCTAAGCTTCGTGCTTACGTTTTATAGTTTTGTTTTCAGGTACCTCTTCAGCTAGGGGAAAGGAGCGCGGTGGGGGTGCGGTAGCGGCATATCACACCTCTCATGTTTTCCGCACTATGGATTTTCTGGGATGTACTCTGAATATTTTACTATGATGTTTACCGGTTCTCAGACATAAATTAATATTATGAATGTTTTGTAACAATGTTTTTATGAATTAACCTAATTTAAAAATGAAATTTTTAGCTGGTATTTTTGGGATGTTACAAGAAGTTGATGGAATCTTCAACATTCAAATGATTTCACCAAAGTCAACCAATATTAGTTTAGCCTAGCATGGCTAAACTCAAGAAACTAAAACTAAAGTAAAATGTATCAAACATATAGCAAGATTTAAAGATCAAAAGATGATGTTCTTCAAGTGTTCTTGGACTTCAAAGTCTTCAAAATCTCCAGAGAAAGTGCTCCAAAATCGGATGTAAAGAAGTACGGAAAAGTGGCATACCAAACTTCCCCATATAGCTCAAAACAAAAATTCCTGAAAATTCGCCTGCAAAGCCTTACGCGACCCACGTGCTGTTGTGTGGGTAGCCTGCGTGCTGAATTGGGTTCTTTTGTGATTTGGGCTTCCAATGACTTAGCCCACTGGTCCAGAATGAATACACTAAGCTTGTAGACCAATATTCTTCATGTTTTCTTCAATTTAAGAGCAATTTTGCTTCCCCGAATCATCCATAGCTCACATACTCACCCGATCAATAATCTCCGCATGCTCGAATATTCACCATTTTCTTCTAAATTCAAGATTCATCTTCTTCAAGCTCCAAGGCCACTAGCCCTCTCCATGCATAAACTCTGCTAGTCATCAAGGCCATAATCCTTGTTGTCCTCCAAATCAAATTGCTTTCGATCCATACGTCCCGAGGATTCCCGCTCTACTAGTCTACTTGAAATCTGCAATAAAGCTCACGAACTAGAAAATACCCGAAATAGTCATAGAATAATAAAAATGAAAATATCCATGAAGATTAGATAAATTATGAACGAAATACACTAAAATAAACTATAAGAAGAAGTAAATAAAATGAAACTATCAACATGACAGAAAAAGAAGATGATGCAGGAGTAGACATAGGAAAGAAAATTTGTGAAAAATAGATGTAATAGAAAAGTTAGAGCAATAGACAAAACGCCTACCATAGGTAGAAGGATTGTAGGGCCCGAACAACAACAACTCGTTTGTTGATGAAGTCGTCGGCAAAAGGAAAGGGAGGCAGGACTGCAAAGATCTAGACGAGGAAAACACAAATGAAGAAGCGATAGTAAAATGACCGGTGACAAAATTAGGTTGAATACCATGTTAGATTATAAAATAATTCATGTTAGCGTTTGCATTGAACTTAATGATATAAATAATACAATGATTTACAAAGGTTATTACACTATAAACATATAAAAGAAAGAATAAATTACACGAATGGTCCTTTTGGTTTGGTGTAATTTGCGCATTTGGTCCCTAACTTTTTTTTAACTCAGAAGGTCATTACTATTGGGTTTTCTTGCGCGTTTGGTCCATGTCTGACCTGAAAAGACTATTATGTCATTGCTACTTTCTTTTTAGTTTTTTGTTATTTATTATAATTTTTAAATAAAAGAAAAAAATAAAAATAAAGGTAAATTAAGCTTCCCACCCCCAACAATTTAACCCATATACTCTCTTTCTCTCTGGTTAACGTAGAAAACCCTACACCAGCTCTTATGTCGTTCTGCGTCCTCTACCACTTGCCACCTGCCAATCGCCGGACACCTCTCCTACTCTTGGGTTTTTAAATTTCTTGGGTTTTTAAATTTCTTCCATAGCTAGATTCATGAAACACAGATAACCACACTACAAGAAAAACAGCCTTTTACGACACTCAATGCGTGTCGTAAAACGCTCAGACGACACACAAATGCGTGTCAAGGAAGGCCTTGTCATAACGAAAGACGACATGCTTTTGCGCGTCGTCTATTTACGACACGCAGTTACGACACACATTTACGACGCTCATTTACGACACACAATGCGTATTAAAGAAGACCCTGTCATAAAGGAAGATGACACGGATTTGCGTGTCGTAACCTTACGACGCGCATTGCGTATCTTTAAAGCCCCTGTCAAGAAAGGTCATGTCATAAATGAAGATGACACATTTTTGCTTATCGTAATTTTAAATGTTTAAAAAAATATTATTTATAGATTTATTAATTTTCAAATTAAATTTGCATTTAATATCTCATGATAGAAAATAAAATATCATATACAAAAAATACAATCCATTGCATAAAATTTAATGTCATACAAATAATCGTTGCATGGAAAGATAAAACAAATCAATAGAAGTTTTAACATAATTTTTCAAACTAATTAGATACAAGAAATATGAAAAACTTAAAATCCTTGAGATTAATAGTTCTAACAGAAGATTCACGTGAGATACATACAGTTGGACCAGTAAGCAAGGATGTTCCCGAATCCACAATAGCAGCACAAAAACACGTACACGATATCTTCTGCTAGAAAGTGTCGATCCAAAACTACTGTTGAAGGTTGCAATGATAGCTGTTAAGATTTAAGCGTAACAAGAAACCAATCAGTGACTATAAGAAGTTAGATAGCGACAAATCCAACTTCTCAAAAATATCACAATGATAAATAAAAAAAGCACCAAAGGTCCCCCTGTGTCAACACCCTTTGAAGCTCAACACCCTTTGAAGCTGAAATTCATATGTGGGGAACCATTAATCACGATAGAAGCCATAGAAGAAGTTAGATAGCAACAAATCCAACTTTTTAAAATTATCACGAAACCCCATATAGGACTTCGTTTAAATAATCTCATCTTAAGGAATTATAGCCCTTCTCAAAATCAACCTTAAAAACCAAAAGCTTATGATGATACTCCTTGACCCAACCTATAATCATCCCATTTAGCATTTGGAACATCGCTAACTACAACAGAAAAAAATGTACCTTACGAGAGCAACAGCAAGACTTTCGGCATTTGGAACATCTAAATTGGTGGTTTGTTCATCAAGTGCAAGTATTCCACAGTTAAGCCAAAAGGTTTCTGCTAATGCCAATCTAATGATAAGTGAAGCAAGCACTTGAGATCAATTGAAAATGGATTTGTGAAATTCCTTCAATCCAAAATACAATGGGAATGGGCAATTAGAGATGATGGCACACCTTTTGACCTGCACTGCACCTTCCTCGCATTTCAAGTCAGCATCACCAGCTTTGCATAACAACCTGAACTTACAATCAACCATAAACATTAGGGTTGGGTTAAAATGTTATCCTCAATTATTTACTTTTATGCAATGTACAGGCTTGATGTTGGTTTTTTTGTAAAAACAAAAAATCAATAAAATAAAAAAATTAAAAAAAAATGAAAAAATGAATCATCACCTTTAATGGATCTGGCACAAGGAACTGAACAGGGATATCTGAAAGTTCAATATTTAAAAAAAAAGTAAAAACCGCCGGTTTTGTTATAAACCGTAAAAACCGGTGTAGTTCAACCGGAACTAAAACCGGTTTATGGAACCAATTTGGCTTACTCACGTCAAGCTCAAAGGAGCAAGCTGTCTCAAACGAGCCAGCCAATTGAATGAGGCGTTGATTTGGTCGCCTAAGCTGTGGTGATACTCCATTTTATTAAATGACTTTACCCTCTACTTCTTTTCACCAATCGATGTGGGATTACTTCCATATTCGTTTGTTGTTTACACTACTGCTTCTTTACAAGTCAATTTACAAACATATTAAATATATTTGCATTGTCTCTTTTTTACACAACTCAAAAACATATTATATATACTTACTTATTTAGACTATTTATTTTTGACGTAACTACGTATTTTATATATGCAATTCATATGTGTAATATACATATACAAAAACACACACATATATATAATTTAGTCTTTTTTTACACACAACACACACACACACACTATATATTATATATATATATATATATATATATATATATTATATACCCGTTTTCCGGTTTTTTGGACCGGTCCAACCGGTTGGACCAGTTGAACCATCAAACCGGTAAGACAACCGGTTCAAAGTCCGGTCCGGTTTTCAAAACATTGAATAAATGTTGCAGTCAACACAGATATGAGTTGATTCTTAACTTTGTAAACTGCAATCTTATTGCTAACCAGAATACACTTTAGGTTGATGCATATAACTCAAAGAATTTGTGTCATTTTATAACTGACTGAAACATAGAAAAGATTCTTACATGCTAATCTTTGTGATGCAGTTTTCATGAATGGCCTTGCTAAGCAGCTTTGTATAAGAATGTTTCCTGAAGTATCAAGTGTTGCTCATGTTATAGAAGTGAATGATATGATAGAACTTCTATAAATCAGGCATGAAACTTCAATGGAATGGTCATGCTTGGAAAGGGAACACAGAGTATATGCATTTTTAGCAAGGGATTTAACCACTTTTATAAGAAAAGATTGCATATTGGAAGCCATTGTTGCATCAAGCACTGATAACTATCCTCAAGAAAGCATCCATCACGCATTAGAACCAGGTGATAGGGTTGATCAAAGGGCTTCATATTGGTCAAGTGAAGGGGCAGTTGACCCTGCAGTTCCTGAAACATTAGTATATAAACTTGTTGCAAATCTTTGTGTGATAACTGAGATCCACATACACCCGTTTCAAGGTTATTCTGGTAATTTGTCAAAATAGTAAAGTTCTGCTTTTTTTTGTACTGAGGAAATTTTGTTGGTCTACCAGATTCTTAAATCTTAGACAAAAATGAATATATTTGTTAAATTGGCATTAGTTTGTGCATCGATTTAATTAGTTTTTGGTATAAGATCATCTGAGTTTATACAATTCATGTATATCAAGAAAAACTAACTAATTCTATTTACCGTGAGATCCATCCATGAAGCATATGACGGTAGTCCTCGAACAACAGCTACACAAAACAAAAAACAACTGATTATGAAAAAGAAAAAAAAGTGATAATTCAATAATTACAGTATTACCCTCTGATTTCACAGAGATTGTCAGCGACTTCATAGCTGAGAGAGTAACGGAGTTGATGTCGTTTTTTTTATGTTTTACACATAAGACATACTTTCTGTTTTACGTGCCCTGAACAATATATAGTAGACATTATGAGTGATCAAATATAAAATTAGAAGTGAACTAAACTAATATAAAAGTGAACAAATTAGATACCTCTATGGTAATAGAGCCCAGGGTCTCATGTGGACATGAACCTGATCCCATTCACTATAAGCATTGAGTATAAAAGTAAGAAAATATTTGTTTTAATAATCTTGTTCAAAGTACTGAAACATATACATGGTGAACCAAACATATCGATATTTTTTTTGTAATTAACTCTCCAATGAAGAACCCACTTCCCTGGAAGGTTGTATCCTATAGTTAGATGCCAATTTTCCTCATCCTTACCACGGTCTAATTTGACTAATATAAATGATAAACCCAATTAAAAGCAAAACTTACATAACATATCCTATTTAACCATGGGGTAAAACCGTTGGAACCATCTGCATACACTAGGACTGGCTCCCTTCCATATATTCAAGCACATGTTTTAGTGACTAATACAATCAAACAGTTTATCAAAGACGATGTATGAAAATAAGTAAGTTGAGTATTTTAACAAACAGTTTGCGTGCAAAAAAATTGAGCTTAAAAGAAATTTCATGTAAAATCACTTCTTTACCTACTGTGATAACAAGTGTAGTTTAGACATTTACCAATTCATAGTGACCATGTCCACACCAACAGTAGCACCACAAGATGGAATTGGGCATCTCAAAGTCAAACATCCAGGACCATCATTGATAAAAACATTAAAAGAAACAGAAATCAGGATACCAATTATAAACATGTAAATGTATAATGACATGAAAACAGAGAGCATTGTATTATCAATACAAACCTGCCCAACATGTGTTACAGAAAGGATGACCAAAAGAAGCAGTGATAACACTATGAAGTGTATATGATTCAAAGCAGATCCCACAAGGACGCTTCAAAAGATACAAAAAATCAAAGATAAGGATTAAAAACTCCACTAAACATTAACTTATTTACCATTTTACCCTAACTTACCTCTCCAGCTTTTGGTGGATTGATATTGGATGGAGGCAAGAGCGAACAGATAGAAAACAATATATGTCGACAATTTTTTGTCATAGAAGTTAACCAAAACCATATTAGAACAGAAAACAGAGAAATCGACACCAGGCAACAACGTCTTAGAACCAACTCATCATCGAATCATTAGCTAATAAAACCACCGAAGCCTTGTTATATGATGAACTTGGAATTATTGAAACAGAAGAGGGTAGTGATGCATAAAATAAAATCCCCAAATTTAATAGTAAAAATGAATCCAATCCGACGAATAAACAGTTTGAGATTAGAAATATATTTCGGTAAAATTCGATTACCTGTTGCCGACTAACTGATACATCATCGGAATCATCATCATCATCGTTGTACATCGCATCGCCGATATAGTAATCTTCTTCATAAGAATCAACATCGTTCGCATAAAACTGTCTCATAACAACAACACCAGGTGGGATCATCTCCTTAATAGAAGAACCAGATGGGACCGTACGCGTCGATTGAGTCAATATAATTCATCACAGAACAAAATTTTCTATTCAATTCAGAGAAACTAATCAAATTTTTTATAAGCAATAATGGAAAAGTGAAGAAATTGTAGGTGTTACACGAAAAATTAAGATATCAGGGAAGAAGAAGAAGAAGGCCCTAGGGCTTTTTCTTGCTAATTGGAAGAGGCGGGGGTTTTAATTTTTGGGATCCAAGCGGGTGAAATCCCTCCTTAAAACGCGTGTTTCATTAAAAAAAATTATAAAGCGACACACTTAGACGACAAACATTTTATGAAAGGCGTCCTCCGCATTTTTTTTTTTTTTTTTCTGATACTAATTTTAGGGCACGCACCAATGCGTGTCCTTTGTCCTTCAAAATTTGCAAAAGTGACATTATTTTTTAGGGAACGCACAAATGCGTGTCCTCTATCAACGCGTGTCATTGTTTGCGCATCATTAAATGACTGTTTTCTAGTAGTGCCAGCTCCATATCAAAAATTAGTTTTTGTTTCAAGATCTGACTAGGGGTTGTCTATTTCCGGTGGTTGTATCCTCCGGTTCTGGTTTCGATTTCCAATGTCGCAGCTAATCCTTTTCGTTTTTCTTTTTATTTCAAGACCCGAAAATGAGATATGTACAAGTATCTTCCGCTGATTTGTGTAAAATATAACCCGTAAGTATTTCTAAATCTACCTAAACCAGAGCCTTAGCACCACCATCATGGTTTTTTGTTACAACATCCACTACAAATAATATGTCATTTAGTAGCACACAAAAAGTGCAACTAAAAACCTAAAAAAATATCACTAAAGGCTTCTTAGACAATGAGCCGCACACATAATAAGTGCCACTAGAAATGCTCCCACTAAAAATTTTTAATGACATTTTTTTGTTTTTGCCGTTGCAGTTATTTTGGCTTTTCGTGGTACTTTTTTAATTGTCACGGTAGAATAAATATTTTTTGTGGCACATATTTTGTGCCGGTAAATACTAATTCAATTCTAGAATTTTTGTTGTTTTAGTGGCACTTTTTAATTGCCACAATAAAATAATTTTTTTTTTGTAGCATATATTTTGTGTCATTAAATACTAATGCAATTATAGAATTATACTACTAATAGTAACACATTTTTTAGCTATAATATAAAATAAAAAAGTGAATTAAATATAATTAATCCACGGAAAATAATAAAAATTTCGTTGTTTTATATCAATGTCAAAAAAGTTTAAATGTGGAATCACAAAAACACTAAATAAAAAAAATAACTAAACAGAAGTAACAAAAAACATTACACATCATTGCAATTGAACTTCTTCACCAAACTTCATGTATCTTGAATAACCTCGAATAGAACCAATATTAACAATTCCCTGTCAAATACACAAATGAAAATATCAAGTTTTATTGTAGTTTTACTAGGATATTAATTACCTCCTTAAACATGAGACCGAAGATCTTATAGTAACCGGATAATATCCAAACAACAACTTACAAGACAACATTTATTTTATAACTTGTGTTATATATAGGGATATTTTAGTAAAAATTAGACATCGGTAAACTGGGAATATATATAATACAAAAGGGATTATAATATGTTTTACATATTCAAACAATGGGGTGAAAAAGGCATCAACTGGTTCAAAACACCTCGCCAACAGGCTTAGCTGCATCAATATGACAACAAGTTTAGTAAATTGTTACAAAGTTACACATTTGACCCTTGAATATCAAATATTGACTATTTTAGGACAAAAAATTGATAATATTACATTTCAGACCACTTTACAGTTGTAATATTTGATGAAAGGGTAGGATGGGTGCAATAAGTAAGATTCTAGAAAATTTGGATGGTTGTTGCTCTATTAAGCCCATTAAGTCAAATTCATCTAATCTGTAGTGTATATAGTATATTAGAAGTAATTGCTCATCTTCTTTTGTGTTAAAAATTCTCCATTCACGCTTTTGAGAAGCCATTCTCGATCCTATAACAATCCAGAAGGAAAATTCAGATCAAAACATAAAGGTAAGTGAAAAATGACAAAACTACCATTAATTATGTAAAAAATTAACAAAAAGAACATGCAACTTACAACTCTCTAACAATAATTTTATAATGTGTAATGACCTATAATTGAGTACAACTAAATAGTATATAACTTCAAAACAACAATATAATCATTCTTTTAATGGGCATTATTAGTAATTAATCCCTAAAAAACAACATATAGGTCCTTGTTTAAAAAACAACACATATGTCCTTGTTTTCTGGGACAAATATATCATTTGCCTTCTATAAAGTATCCTATAAGGTTACAAAATTAAAACAATGAAAGGTTTGAGGTCATTTTGGATGAACAAAGTCAAGAAAGCTTATGATTACACATATATCTTTTGTTTGCTTCTTTGAGTTTAACTCATTCGCATTTGCTAAAAATGCACCAAATTACTCATATGATAATCTGCCCCTAATGAAAGTAAAAAAGAGTGATAGATGATTAGCAGCAATAATAAGAATGAGCAGAATGGAAAAACTGCTAATGAGGGGGTATATAGGTAAGTTTACCTCACTTGTCTGAATTTTGTTGTACCATCCACACGAGTGCATCATGCAACAAGCATAAAGTAGTGCACATCAGTGTCAACAACAAAATCGGTCCTTGAAATAAGTTGGAACAACCAAACCAAAGTGCTAAAAACTCAACATCTCCTAACTACAAATTACCCAACATATGCATATATCACTACTACTACCACCATGTATCTTTATTACATTGGCTATAAGTTTTGTTGTATGTACCCCATTCCTTCAGTTGCATTTCACTCTACATTTAATGCTTTCTGAATATCTCCCTGCAACAAAAACAAACAAGTTAAGTTTAATAATAAAATCACTCCATGTGATGCATAATAAAGAATAAATATGCATGTAATATTGTTACCTGAATGGATAATGGTGAAGTAGTTGTCCCATAAAGACCTATGACTATACCTTCTTTATCACCTAGAAACTTGGTAAAATTCCAATTCATGCTTGACCCAACAAACACCCTGTTTCTTTGCTTTATGAAACTTGTACACATGTGATGCTTTTGGTCTATTAACACAAATCTTTAAATAAAGAAATAGCGGGTTAGACACATTTTCACCATTCAAACATCAAACTTCAATTCGTTTATGAAAATGAGTGATTTATGGTTCAAAACACTTGTATTTTTTGTAAGGATGACTGAAAACTCACCTTCTAGAAGATGTGATATGTGGTGTTAAACCTTGTGCATGTAAATTCTTCCAATTTCTCGCTAGAATCATGCTCTTATTTTCGGAACTGATTGCAAGGAAATGCTAAGATCTCCAGACCTGATCATAGATATGTATCAACACATACTTTATATTTTGATTCAATTCTAGCTCACAAA